CCGCCACAAACTTTAGCAACAACCACCCCAATCAGTCAGCCACCAACATCAAGGCAAGACCCTTGACTAGCAAGATGATTATAGCTTGTTGAAGGCTGAGATTTTTTTTTAGCATTTTTAGCAACAAAGTATTTTTAAATTAAGGTGTATACATTGTGTTTAGACATAATGCTATAGCATACTTCATAGACATAACTTTTATATGCACTGAGAAACCAAAGAAATTCTAGTGTCCCACTTTATTGAGATATTTGCTTTATTGCCATGGTCTGGAACCAAATCAAAACTATCTCTGAGGTATGCCTATACAATATATGAATGTATCAAGTCAATACATTGTCTGCTTTAAATTTGCACAATGTGATACGTCAAATATATCTCAATAAGAAAAAGAAAAATAGCAGCTAACACTGGTGTATGTCAGATACTGGTCTGCTTCCATATATTAACTTATTTTAATTGAGTTGTCACAGGACAGCAATTCTATGAGGTAGATACTATTATATCCCCATCTTACAGAAGGCAAAATTGAGACACAGAGATTTTAAGTAAATTTCCCAGGTTCGCACAGCAAGGAAGTAGCAGGACTGAGGTTTAAACCCAGAGAGTCATGCCCTAGAACTCGTGCTCTTAACCACAACAATCTTGACTGCCTCAAATTCCTGGAGCTCCAAGAAGCTTCTCTCGCTTCAAGGCTGTCACATCTGTTTCTCCTCCCTGCTGTAGCAATTCTCCAGTAAAGGCTTGGGAATGCATGTTGGCTCCTTCGGATTGGGATGGTGCCACTTCCCACACTGCAGCATTATTTTTCTGGTAATTATTTGGTGCTTATCTATGCAGATTGTGGAAAGCAGTGTATTACTAAGACAAATGTCAGGTTCATAACAAATTCCAGAGCAGAAAAAATATTTAATCAGATGTGCTTATCAAGGCTCTTTTCCCCCCTTCAGAAGTGGCCACGCTGCTTTTCGGCCGATACTGTCCCCCTGCCCTGGCTAAAGCATTCGTTGAACCCTCTGGGTTACATAACTTGGTGTGAACCCACTTCCTCTGGCCATAGGAGACAATGGTTCTCAGAGCATTGACATGAACATTTCCTGTTCTCCCTGGCTAATGAAGAACAGCCTTTCCAGGAAACATGTGCTTTCTGAAGTCTGACACTGAGTGCACTAAGCAGCCTGAGAATGGGGTGCAGTTAAGTATGATTAAAAGTGGAAGATTAAAAAATATTACAAAAATATTGTAACAGGAAATGGAAAAGAATGAGAATTATGCGCAAGGCAGCTCTGGCGGGACTTTGACCTCAAAAAGAAGTTACTTCGTTACATGAGAAGGTAAAGGGATGCTGTTACCATAAATCACTATTAAAATTCACATTAACGAAATTACATTTAAAAAATTAGATGAGAAGAGGGAATGCTAATTAGATTCTTGTACAGTCAAGCTAATCGGTATTCTTTTCACAGGCAGCAGATAGAATTTATACGGAGACGCTGCTGACATATTATTGGCCATTGGTGGACAGCACCAAATGGTTCAGTGTTAACTGCTAGAGATGAATCAGCTTCTTAATTTAACCTCACAGACATGAACCAAGGAAGATTATCTTCTAAGATACTTGTAGCCGGAGACTGGCCTTAACTTGGTGCCAGGTTGTCAGCAAAAGATCTGAACATCTGTGGGCCTTAAAACCGTGGATGGACAGCCTATGACAAAAACCCATGACAGCATGAGATGGGTTTTAGAGAAATAATATGTGGATGGGGTTGTGAAAAGCAGCTTCTAAACGCGGAGAAGAAGTAAATTATCCTTCCTTTCCTTCTCCCCTGACCTGTCTCCATACACACCAGGGTTTCTCCTTGATCCCTATCCACTATAAAGGAGAGGGTAGGGGGTTGGGCCAAGATAGCAGAGTGGAGAGACCCACGGATCTCTCTCTCCCACAGGTGCACCAAGAGTTGCACCTATGGACCCGTTGGGTCACGCAGGGCTCTTGCTGGGCTCTGGCAGAGCATCTCTCATTTTGGAGATGCAGGAGGATTCTCACAGAATCCAATAAACAACAAGTTCATACTGTATAGCACAGGGAACTATATTCAATATCTTGTAGTAACTTATGGTGAAAAAGAATATGAAAACAAATATATGTATGTTCCTATATGACTGAAGTATTGTGCTGTACACCAGTGATTGACACAACATTGTAAACTGACTATACTTCAATAAAAATATATTTTAAAGAAAGGAAGGGAGGAAGGAAAGAAGGAAGGAAGGAAGAAAGAAAGAAAGGAAGAAAGGAAGAAAAAAGAAAGAAAGGAGAGACTAAACATTTACATGCTGCTTCAGCAAGGTTGCTGATGTCCACTAGACCTGTTTGGCCTGGAGACCAGACTTCTGCTTCCACCAAGATGGAGTAACAGGGACCACAATGACTCTCTCTCTTGAAACAACCAAAACCCTAAAAAGTATGTGAAGCAATGGTGTTCAAGATAGTGGATATCAGACAACAAAGGATAGTGATCTGTCTGAGACAGGATAAAAAACTGAGTCCTGTAGTCATTCCAGCTCACTGCTTTGAGATAATTTACAGGCTGTGGTGCAGGGAAGAGAAATCCAGAGAACATTCTGCATTGAGGTGATAGAGCTGAGACGTGGAGGAGACCAAGGCAGCTGCAGCTCTCAGAGCAGAACACTAGAGAGGAGGGAGAGACCCACAGAGAGAAAACCCCAGCAAGGATGCTCCCTTGAGTAAGTGTCCAGCTGGTAAGTTCAGGCACGTGAGGAACTACTGGAGGCCAGAGGAAGAACCACCCAGGAGGGTAAGAGGGGACAATGTTCAGCTCCCATATAAGGCCAGAAATAACACTTATTCTTACATTTTAGACTGAACATCATCACGATTTAAGGGAAACGGAGTGACATGCACAGATGAGTCTTGCCTCAGTATTAGGGAGGAATTAGCCTTAATTATTGAACACTGAACACTGCTCTTTTACCACCTAACAAATCTTAAAAACATATCCAAAAGGATCAAACTCTTTTCAAGTAGCTTAACTCTGTCACCAAACAAGCTAAAAATGTTTATAGAAATACAAAAATTCCAGGATCCAACCAGGTAAAATTCACAATGTGTAGTACGTAATAAAAAAGTACCAAGAAGTGGGATCCATGAGGAGAAAAAGCAGCCAATCAGAACTGACCCAGAATTGACACAGATGTTAGAATTAGCAGCAAAGGACATGAAAACTGTTAACAGAACTCTATTCTCTATGTTTGAAAAGTTAGGTAGAGATATAGAAGATATAATAAAGACCCAAATTGAACCTTTAAAGATGAAAAGTGCAATGTCCAAGATGAAAAATGCACTAGATTGCATTAATGGCTGATTGGACATCTTAGAAGAAGAGATTTGTAAACATGAAGACAGAGCAAGAGAAGTGATACAAAATGAAGTACAGAGAGAAAAGTGAATTAAAAAACAAACAAAACAGAGCATCACTGAGCTGTGACAACTTCAAGTGGCCTAATAAATGTGTAATTGTGATTCCTAAAGGAGAAGTGGGAATAGTAGGCAGCCTCTAGGATGGCCCCCAGTGATCCTTGCCTCCTGACATTCGTGATCTTCTTTAATCCCTACTTATTGAGTGTGGGGTCAATTTATTGACTCACTTCTTATAAAGGAAATATGGCAGAAGTGATGGGATATGAATTACAAACTTAGATTACAAGAAGATTCTGGATTCTATCTTGGAAGTTCTCTCTCTCACTCTCTTAGATGTCTTTTCTCTGGAGAAGCCAGATGCCATATTATGAGGCAGCCTTGGAGAGAGGCCTACCTGGCAGGGAACTTAGACTGCTAACAAGCATATGAGTGAACGTGGAATCAGATCTTCTGACATCTGCCGGAGTCCCTTGACTGCAACTGCATGAGAGCTTCATGGCTAGAGGCATCCAACTAAGCCATCCCTAGAGTCCTGACCCATGGAAAGTGTAGATAATAAGTGTGTATTGTTTTCAGCTGCAAAATTTTGGAGTTATTTGTTACACAGCAATGAATAACTCATACAGAAAAAAATTTGTAGAAATGATGGCCAAAAAATGCCCAGATTTAATGAAAACTTGTAAACTCACAGATCCAAAAAACTCAATGAACTCCCAGCACAAAAATAATGAGGAAAATCACAGTAAGGCACATCATAATCAAATTACTCTAAACCAGAGACACTGAGAACATCCTAAAAGCAGTCAGTAAAAAACAAAACAAAACAAAACAAAAACAAAAACAAAAACAAAAACAAAAAACACCCCCAACAAACATAAGGATGGCAGCAAATTCTTTAGAAAAAAATGTAAGCAAGAAGTCAGTGGAACAATACCTTAAAATCCTGAAGCTGTCAAGAGCAAAACTGTCTTTCTAAAACAAAGATGAAATAAAGGCTTTCAGACATACAAAAGTTGAAAGAATACATCACCAGCAGACAGAGCTTCATCACAAAAAGTGTTAACAGAAGTCCTTCAGGCAGAAGGAAAAGGATGCCAGGTGAAAATATGAATCTGCACGAAGGAAAAAAGGGAACTGGAACCCTCATACATTGCTCCTGGGCATACAAAGTAGTACAACCGCTTTGGAAAACAGACTGGCAGTTTCTTCTTCTTCCATTTTTAAAAATTGTATTGTTTTTCACTTTATTGAGATACAATGGACATATAATTGTGTAAGTTTATGGTGTGGATTTGATACACTTAACATGTTGATTAATATACTTGTACGTTGCAAAATGTTTATCACCATAGCGTTAGCGAACACATAATTACTAATTCTTTTTTTTTTTTGTGGTGAGAGCATGTAAGATTTACTCTTATCACAACTTTTCAAGTATATAATACAGTATTGTTAACTATAATCACTGTGTTATTCATTAAATTTCCAGAACTTATTCATCTTACAACTGAAAGTTTGTACCTTTGACCAATATCTCCCTGTTTTCCTTACCTTTCAGCCCCTGGTAACCACCAGCCTACTCTCTGTAGCCATGAGTTCGGCTTTTTCAGATTCCACGTGTAAGTGATCTCATACAGTGTTTATCTTTCTCTGTCTGACTTATTTCACTTAGCATACTGCCTTCAAGGTCCATCCATGTTGTCATAACTGACAGGACCTCCTTCTTTCTCATGTTTGAATAAATTCCATTGTGTGTGTGTGTATGTGTGTGTGTGCATGTGTATTATCTTCTCTATCCATTCATCCATCAGTGGACATTTAGGTTGTTTCCATATCTTGGCCGGTGTGACTAGTGCTGCAGTGAACATGGGAGTGCAGATACCTCTTTGAGATCCTGCTTTCATTTTCTTTGGATATATACCCAAAAGTAGAATTGCTGGATCATATGGTAGTTCTATTTTTTATTTTTTGAGGAACTTCCATACTGTTTTCCATAGTGGCTGGACCAGTTTACATTCCTACGAACAGTGACGAAGGTATTTATCCAAGAGAAGTGACAGCCTATGTCCATACAAAGACTTGTACACAATGTTCCTAGCAGCTTTTCTGTAGTAGGCGAAAGTCAGAAACAACTCAAATACCCATCAGCAGTTGAATGGATGAACACACTGTGGTATATCCATACACTGGAATACTCCTCAGCAATGAAAGAAAATGGATTGTTTATACAGGCAAAATATGAATGAATTTCTAAATAGTTTTGCTGAGTGCAGAAACCCAGATCAAAAGATGAGTACGTACTACTTGATTCCATTTATTTAAAACCATAGAAAATGCAAACTAATCGACAGTGACAGAAAGTAGGTCAGTAGGTGCTTGTGATGGGAGTTAGGAGACAATGAGAAGGAGCAAGAGGGGAGGGTTGCAAAGGGGCACAAGAAAACTTTTGAGTGTGATGCTTATATGTCCATTATCTTGACTTTTGGTGATGGTTTCATGGGTGTTTACATTTGTCGTAACTTATCAAAATTGTACACCTGAAACCCATGCAGTTTACTGTGTGCCATCTTAGTAAAGCTTATACCTCATAAAATTATGCCTCAATGAGGTAGTTAAAAAAAGAAAAGGAGATCAAACTCAAATGTGGACAAATAGATTTTCACCTGGAAAGAGATAAAATCACTGTGAACCAAACTAATATGAATGACAAAATAAATTTTATTCAAGTTGTAAATGCTTCTTTTGTCACCTCGAAACTGATGGGAGACCAGGAAGGACAAGGCCATCCCATGTTCATTACATACGTTACATTTGTGGGGTCTTTGAGGTGCTACCATCACAGTTTGGGTACTGCTGGTGCTAGAAGGCTCTCTCCTTTCCTAGGAAGCTGCCTTTCTTGACTCTTGGGGTGTGGAAATTATGAGGGGAAACATTAGTCATTAAATTAGATTTTTAGACCAATTCCTGGGCCATGAGCCTGTGCCAGGTACCACATCTGGTTCTTCTAAGAGTTTTAATTAGCATACCCTATGAGGTGCAATTAAAAGAAAATAGACAAGAGTTTTTAATGAGATTCAAAATCATACTGGGTCCACCAGTCTTGGAATGACATTGAGTGTACCGCCACTCCTGGAGGCAGTTAAGGGGCAGGATAAATGACAGGAGCTCTGCACCTGCTGAGGAAGCAGCACGCCACAGGCTTCCCTGAGGTCACGGGAGGAATGATGCTGCCAAAAGGGCAAGTCACCTGATTCAGGTGGAGTACGATACCCACCTTAGCAGGGAATTATTCCTCTACAGCTGAGGATGGCCCCAGTGTTACCCTGCTAATACTATCTTCCCATAGGTAGTTCAGTGTACATCACTATTCTAAAGTCTTTGTTCCTGGCTCCATGGTGAGAACTTCACTCTTAAAAATTCTTCTCCAATCTTGTTAGGAATATATCAGTTAGGGTTGCATTTGGCTAAATGTGACTTAACTTAGCAGGCGATGGCTTCCTTCTCTCCCACCCACCTCCCCTCCCCCCCCTCCTCCTCTTTTTCCTCCTCCTCCTCTTCTTCCTCCTCTTCTTCCTCTTCCTCCCCCTCCCCTCCTCCTACTCCTCCTACTCCTCGGTCTTCTTCTTCTTCTTCTTCTTCTTCTTCTTCTTCTTCTTCTTCTTCTTCTTCTTCTTCTTCTTCCTCTTCTTCTTCTTCTTCTTCTTCTTCCTCCTCCTCTTTTCCTCTCTCTCTCTCTCTCTCTCTCCTCCTCTTCTTTCTCTCCTTCTTCTTCCTCCTCTCCTCCTCTCTCTCTCTCTTCTTCTTCTCTTCTTCTCTTCTCTCCCCCCTTCTTCTCCTTCTCCACTTTCTCCTCCTTCTCTTTCTTCTCTTTCTTCTCCTTCTCCTCCTCCTTCTCCTTCTCCTTCTTTTCTCATGTCACAAGGAACTCGGGGACAGGCAATCCTGGATATGCGCAGCTGGTCAAGGAGCAAGGCTTCTTAATCCTACTTGTTCATTCACCTTTCAGATGTGACTTCGGTTCTCAGTGGTGGCTCCATCTCTGGGTACCAGTGTACATTTCAGGCAGGAAGAAGGGGGATGTGAAGAGCCAAAGCCTGTATTGGTTGAATCTGTCTCCATCAGGGCAGCGCCACTCGATGACATCTGCCTTCATTCGTGTATCAGAACAGCCACCCCCACTTTATCAAGGTCTGGAAAATGAGTGTTCTAATTGGAAATACCACAAAACTGAACAGAATCATGGTTCTGTTTTAAGGAAGAAAGGGAGCAGAGATACTATGTAGGAAATAGCAGTGCCTTCAGAGGATGCTATTAATATCCTCATTTTACAGATGAGGAAACTGATGCTGAGAGGTTAGCAAAGTCAGAGCCTAATGGAGATGAGATTTGAACCAGCTGCCTGGCTCTGGCCTCTGTGCACTTTATCACAACAGCAGAAGCCACCTGCTCTGAGCACTGGGCCCCTGCATAACATGAGTAGTGACATGCCACTAAACAGATACGAGAAGAATATTGTAGCTTCTTTTTTTGCAAGATCAATAGATATTGTTCTTCCAGTGATTTCCTTCCGGTAGGGGCTGTATATGCTAATATGCTAATAAATTGATCCCAGATTTGCTGGAATAAGTACTGGGCTTTGTTTACATGTTGTGCTATTTGCTTCAGAGATGCAGGGTCTCCCCTTCCTCTGGAATTAGGAACAAGATTTCAGTTGTGTCTTATTCACAAAGCAGGCCAAAACATATCTCAGTTACTGACCAGGCTGTAAGAATAACCTAAACTCCTTGTTGAAGACCAGACCTGTGAGTTCACCAAACACGTTATGCCTGCCGTTTATCTACCGATGGGGGGCTGCTTCCTTACGTAGAACGATCGAATTTGTAGGCTTCCCTGTTACTTTCTTTTAGGAAGATGCTAATGTCCATTTCCTCTCTTCTCAGAAGAGGTACCAGAACTGCGATCCTATAAACTCTCCTCTCAGTGGAAGCCCTGAGTTTCACAATTTAGATCAAAGTAAATACCAAACCCGTTTCACCAGTTTCAAGGGCCACAGAGTTGGCCCAGGCGTATTCCAGGCTCGGCTCCAGCTCCTTGTGTTGGTGTGAGGCCCTGTCTCCTTGGTGATAGTCATGTCAGATCCACATGTACTTTACAAGTCACACATGTGTCATCTCTGGGATTCAGGACTGCACAGGTTTTAAAGTTACTCCTTGCTAAAATGTTGTAAAAGCTAAGAACACCTATGTTTGAAGTTCATGTATAACCACGTGAGTGTATGTTTTCAGTCTTTTCTATAAAAGGGATCTTAATGATGCTTTATAAGCGTGTGTAAATAGACAAGCACGAGTGACGATAGGAGAGTGTACAGGCTACCGAAGACTGCTGGCAAAATGTTAGAAATCCCAGTTCCTCACTGGATTGTTTTTGCCTCATTTTGTAATGCAGGTGTCCACTGTGCTCCTGTTAGCTGGACACGTAGCAAATCTCCTTTAACTTAGTATCTACCAAGAGACAATGTTAAATTAATATTTGATTGAGTTTGGTCTTGAATTTGAGGATTTCCTTTCATCTATTGAAGAGGTCATGTGGCAGGGCGGTACCCTTTGAGCTGAGGAGCTATTTCTTGTCTCCGGTTTGGTTTGTTTGGATATTTTTGGCAGTGGACACTTGCGTTTGTTTGCATGTTTATAAAGAGTCCTTTATTTCACCCTGTGTGAACTTGACATTTCACTTTTAATATAAATAATTTGCAAATAAAGCAGTAGTCATTTAACCCTCTGCCAACCAGAATAGCTAAATACAAAAACCAAAAGTCCAGAAGCTTCCAAAGGTGTCTGCTTTTGTTGGAATGACAGCCTCCCTGCAGTGGTACAAAGCTAAATAGGTCAAGGAAATGGTAAAGGACAATTGTGTTTTCAGTTCCCTGTTCGCTGCCTCACTTGTCCTTCACAAGAATGGTAATCAAGCCATTTTGACATCTTGGCTTTGTTAAGTGAATGGAATAATAGAAGCCCATGTGTTCCTGGTTCTGACCAATACTTGGGCATTGACTTCTGGTGTCTTTTCTCCCTCCCCTTCAGCACGCACAAAGAGGCTACCTGTGTGTGGTTGTGCAAATAACGTAACCTTTTGGAGACTCTTTTTCATCTGTGGAATGTTGGTGGGCTTTCGCTCATAGCATTGTTACAAAAATAAAACAAATTGTGAACGTCCTGCCCTGTGTCTGGAATACGATCCATGCCCAATAAATGTGTACAAATCTCTAAGTTTTCCCCCATTCTCAGGACTGACTTCATGGACACACGACCTCTGGAGCCAAATAGGGCCCCTGCTTACAATAGCCCCTGCTCTTGGATTTATGCTCTGCTGCCATTCATTTGAAATTCTTAGTACCTTTTGGACAGGAAGCCCACCCACATTTCCATTTTGCACTGGGTTCTACAGATTATGTATCCAGTTTGCCTGTCCTTTTTGTTCTTCCTCCTCTTTTTCAAACTTGTTGGGTTTGCAGAACCAGATGTTCCCTTGATTGGCAGGGTTGGTATGTTCGTCAGTTGCCCGCAAGGTGTTCTGGCAGTCACGGTGCTGCCCATTGCTGAAATCTGTTTTCCCAACCTTGACCTCGGCCTCACCTTTCTCCTGCACAGCGTTGTCACCATGATTCTGGTTGAGGCACATGCACACAGGTCAGGGAGTAGCTCTGAACAAGAAAGCTTTTCCTAAGGGATCTGCCCATAACTTCTAGCTGACTCAGCACTGAAGTAGTATCAAAAGGCCCCATCAGAATGTAATTTGGTGCAGCTATTATGGAAAACAGTATGGAGATTCCTTAAAAATCTAAAAATAGACATCATATGGTCCAGCAATCCCACTCTAGGCATATACCTGGAGGAAACTAATGTGAAAAGATACCTGCACCCTAATGTTCATAGCAGCACTATTTACAATAGCCAAGACATAAATGTCTACTGACAGGTGACTGGATAAAGAAGTTGCGGGCAGATTCCTTAGG